TCTTCACACTTTTGCACACAAACACCTAGTGAAACACCACACTCTTGTTGCTGAGGCACCTTGAAGTTGGTTTTGGTGTTTTTGGACTGTTTTTTATCCAAAAAGGTTGCTGGAGTTGCTTCCTTGAAGTTGTTCTACAAGGGTGAGTTTCTAACCCCTTAACGTTTTATTTTTGTTTAAGTCTTTGGCCCTATTTGCATGCTGATTTAGGCCTAACTTTAAACTGCAAAAAGCTTTAATTTTAAATGTTTAAGATGTTTGTTTAAGGTCTCGTTGGTGTTGGGAGTGGTCTACCCCCTTTTTGGGCCTTCATCTTTTTAAGCTATTGGGACCACCTTCTTTTGGCCTTTTCACCACTGAAACTCAGAGGAATTTCAGTGGTGGAAAGGTAGCTTTGAGGTCCCAAATAGGGGGGTCATCCCCTCTCCTTGTGTCTTGCATGTTTGTGTTGATGGCTCATCAAAGTAGCATATTTGTTAAGCTTGTTTTGTCTCCATCTCAGCATGTATTAGGCCTTATTTTAGCATGCCATAACTCTGTTTTGGCTTAGTTTGGTCAATCATGCATGCTCCTTGCACTTGTAGTGCAAATCCTCTCACTAGCCTAACATGCATCATGCTTTGGACCATTATTCTAGCATGTTTTTAGCTCTACTCCAGCAAGCTTTTGTCCATGTTTTAGCATGCTCTAGGTCTGATTTAAGTGTTTTGGGTCATGCATGCCTTCCTTTGTATAGCCATAGTGCATTCTAGGTCACTAGCTTTGAGTTTCCAAGTTACTAGCATGCATTACTTGGGCCATTTGCATGATTTGGCATCATTTGATATGTGATTTCAGTACATGTAGTGTGGCCATACACTTACATCTTTCGCTCTTTCAATGCTTTGGAGGGTTGGTTCTTTATGCCTTGAAAATGAGCCAATGCGTATGCCATCTTGCCTAGTTTTTTGGGACACCATTTCAGTGTGTATTTGGTCCTATTTTGCTATGATATAACTCTGATTTTTGTTGGTAAAGTCATCTCATGCTTGGTCTTGGTGGGTGTAGTGTAACCTTCCTCTTTGGCCTTGTATACTCCATGCTTCATGCCTTCATGCTAGCTTGTCTTCGCTCTATTACATGCATGTTTCTAGCATTGTTTTGACATGTTTTAGGACTATTTTGGATCATCTCGGCTTTTTGGGGCTTGCCTTGTATAGCTGTAGTGCAAGTGCCTATGTTAGTTTCAAGCTTTAAGCCTTCTAGCATGTTATCTTTGAGTTGTTTGAATGATTTGGCATCATTTCATACATGATTTCAGAGCTTACGGTGTTGTCACACTTCCACATTTGTCACTCCTTGAGCACTTTTGAGAGTTGTGCTCTTGTGCTTAGTTAATGGGCCAATGCATGTGCATGCATTTTCTTGCTTTCATGCCATCATTTCATAGCATTTTGGCCACTGTTTTGGGCATGATTGAGGTCTGTTCATATTCGGTTTAAGTCCATTGAGCATTGTTTCGCATGCCTCTTGTATGTTACTCTTTACTAGCTTTGATGCCTTAAGCTTCTAACTTGCCATGCATGCATTTTTCACGTGTTGGAATCTTGTGCATGCCATTCTAGCATTGGTAGGCTAGCATGTTGTTTGCATGCTTATGTTGCATTGCATTGTGTATGCATGTCATTAGCATTGATAGGTTGATCATGTTGCATTGTATTGCGTGTGCATGTATTACATTGTGTTTAGAATGTTGTATGCTTTGCATTGTGTTTGGAGTTGGACATCAATCCAAACACGAGGAATGTCGCATGTTTCATACTCAAAGTGATGAAACGTGCCTCATTTCTCAGTCGCCGACCCTCTTGATCATGCATGATAGAGGCGGAGGCTTTTATGTGTTATTCGTGCATTTATTTGACATTGATTTGCGCAACTCGGCCTCTTTGGCCATCATGCATTGAGATACGTGATTGATGGCTCGAGAGTCAAGCACTACATTTCTTTTAGCTTTAAACATGATGAGGAGTGTGGTTACACACACATTTTCTTGCAAATACACTGACATGCTTCTATTAGTGCTCTGTTGCAGCAAAAGGAGAATTTGCAGGAAGTAGTGGCCGATCGGCCATTAAAGTTTGCCGATCGGCTATCAAAATTGGTCGATAGCCATTATCTTTGGCCGATGGTCGTTCCTCTTGGCCGACCACCCCTCAGCATGTTCGTAAGGTGGGTCAGAAGTACCTTGGAAGTTGGCACAATTTTCAGAAGTCCGAAAGAGTGCAAACAGAGGCCACATGAGGTGTGGTAGTGGATTTCCGAGGGAAGCCGACCGAGCATGCATCACTTCCTTGCTCGCGAGGCCATTTCAGTACTCATGATTAATTCGTGTAAATTAGTCATTTGATTGGTTTTGTAATATTATAATTAGCTTAGTATAGCTAGTTTTAATTTGGTTCGTACTTAATTAGCTTAGCTTAGCTAGCTTAGCTTATTATTCAGACCCTCCGTCGAGAGGGCACAAATGTTGTAATAAGTGTGCGTGTGTGTGATGCATGTCTTCCAACCCCACGTCTTTCTCCCTTTTACTTAACCCCTTTCGATGGTTAGTTTGAGGTCATGTTTCAATTAGCATCCTTATGCTTCGCATGCGTGCATCATTCATATGTTTTGCATGCACCGGGCTCCGCGCATCATACAAACTGCATTGTATTTCAATACCAATTTGAATACATGTTATCAAGGTACATTTCACATGACATCTTAGAATAGCCGAGCCTATTTTAGTTTCATTTTGGCATGTGTTGCATTAGGCATCTTGACATAGCTAGGATCATGCATTGATTACTAACTAGCTTCTTTTTTGGCTCGGAGTATTAGGTAAGCTTTTACGCTTTAGCATCTTGCATTTGTGTAAGTGTTGCCATGATAGCATGCTTGCCATGAGGCTAACTGCTTAATTGATTAACTGTATGAATGTCTGTGGATGAAGGCTTCATTGCTTGAATTGGAACAAATTCATAAAAATGTGAGTTTTAAGCTCACTTGAAGTGGCAAATCATCATGTTTTAAGCCCACTTGAGGGTGGCAAATCCGTGTCTTAGCCTACTTGCGAGTAGCACCTTCAAACCATTTTCAAACAAACGAACATGAGATGTTTTGTTCCAACTTGAGCGATTTGGTCTATACTTGTATGTTGTGCACATCACATAGTAATTCTAAACTAATAACCGGAATAAGAATACATGTGTTTATAAAAACAACATATCATGTTAGTAAAGGCCGATCTTTGATCGGACGAGCGGGGGTGCTCATTGCATGACCTTCCCCTCTCGTACCCAAGTTCCCAAGCTGAGGCAACTTTGGTGATGACGGACATGTGGCCTTAGGCACGAGTCAGGGTTTCCTAAATTTCCCAAAATAAAATATTTAGGTGGCGACTCTGAAATCTGGCAAAGCAGTCCATGTTTGGCGCTTTTTGATTATAATCGATTTTCCAAAACGATTTGCCGGATTTGGACTCTTTGGTGATTTATCAGTCTTACATTGCATTTTGTGAGATTATATTCAGAACCGTGACAGGAGTCCGAACTGCAATAGCTAGAACCACAATTCGCGCCCTCGCACGTGGAGCAGAGTTCCGGGCGGTCTACACCTCTCCCTTCTACAAACTTGGGGTGCCCCTTGGGGCCCTCTCCAAGTTACAATCCTAAGCTTTATAAACCCATCAATTTTTTCCCACCAAACCAATATGGAACAAGCCTTTATTCAAACCTTAAGGAATTTCCACCAAAAACTCCATTTCCATGGAGCTCACTTTGGCTTCAATTTCTCATTCGCCCGATAATGGTTTTGAGCAATCAAATATACTACGTAAATCATAACGCGACATAGAACGCGTTACCACTTAGACCCACCTAAAAAATAGACCAAAGTTGAGAAAAAATCCTTTTTTTTCCTAGTTTTTTCCTAAAACCATTTCTAACAGATAGTGAGGACAAGTTGTTATTTTGTCCCAAAAATGCCATCACTTTTTCGAGAATCAGCCATATGCTACAACACCAGGTTTCACAATCAAGTGTTTATGAAAAGGGAAGTGCAATTGCAACATATGTATTCTTTACACTTAGTCATAGTTCCCTATTAATCCCCAATAATATGAATAATCATTTTGCAAATCTGTGACAGGTTCTCCATCGCTTCTTAAAGTATCACATCAAGATCAATCCACCACTTCATTGAATCAAATTAGTTTCCACAATTTGCATGCACAATGTGAAACTACTCTGCACCCATACAATGGTTTTTACTGCAACAAGAGTTACAAGACCTTGTTCAATAAACAGTTATCCAAAATTGAGGTTTGTTTTGTTTCTTCCTCTTCAAATGGTGGAACAATAAGCACAGCATGCAAAATAGTTGTTTAGCATGCCATAGTTAACATTTTTTGGGTATAAGGAAAAGGGACAAACACATAACAACAACAACAACAAAAACAAAAAATCAAAACCAGGGATATACTGTGGGTACAAAAATTTATGAATAAATAAATAAAAACAGTTTTGTTGCAATGAAAAACAGAGATAAACTATGAATCTAGAGAAATGTTGCAAAATGCATACATAAGGCAAAGAGACTTTGCATGGTTCTGTCAAAAACCTACATCTATGAGCAAAGACAATGAGAATATTTCACTATGGTGAAGAACATGATGGTAAAGTGTGGCTCCAAACTCTTTCAAGCTTCATTCCTTTTTACGTAAACGAGTTCTCAGAGAAACACCCCAAAACACTATTTATATATCTTAGAGAAACCCCAAAAAACACTATATTATATATATGGGTTTAGAACCACAAAAAAATAATTGGGTTGAGGGGCATTACCATTGGATTCCTTTAAAGGTAACAAAACAAAAATCAAGAATCTAATTTGGCCTTTCCTCAAATATTAGGTTTGTTTTCTCTATTGCTTGCAAAAAGGCCTCTTAGGCTCTAACTTTAAGACACCATCCTAACAATTTGTCACAAATTCTTCAAAAACATATTCATCAACAAATAACATAAAAGCATTAGGCCTCAAGAAATTGTGCCATATCTCCAACATTTTTAAGCAGAATTAAAAGCTGCATATCTTTTGAGTGAGGAAGTAATACAGAATCTTAGAAAACACATTAGCCAATTTTGTTCAAGACAAAAATTTCAACAAAGTTAAAATACTAGACAACAAAAATATGGAACAAACAAATTTAAAAAAGAACACAAACATTCTCAAATTTTGATTTCAAAAATTTACCTTCACAAAACAAAACAAAAAAAAAAAAAAAAAAAAAAAAAAAAAAAAAAAAGAGAGAAATGTACCATCAAGCTTTGACCTTTGGCAACATCATTGAGGGAAACAAAGCTCGAAATATGAGCAATCCCATAAAATTCTGATTTGATCCCATAAATATTTAGATTCTTAAAATATCCAACTTAGGATTATACAACATGAGAATATCCTTGTTAACAAGCATCAAGATTTCCCCACTCTTTAGCATCATAATTGGCTTATAAGAGCCTCAATTCCTGCTCTTACCAATGCACTATCAAATACCAACTCTTTGCTCCAAGACTCCTTAATCCCATAATCTTTCATTAACCATATATCAATACTAAGAGGACTAAATAAATCACAAATGAAGAGTCAATCTTGTAGCACACCCAGGCAAATATGATCAGGAAACTTCATATGCAGACCAAACTCGGGAGGTTTAGGGACAACCCGAAATTGCTCGCTGCCAAAATCAAAACAACAAAGTCGGGACTATCACCTGCACAATTAAGCCAATGAATAGCTCCATTCACGAAAGAATTGAATGAGCGATTTGTCAATTAGTAAAGAGCACTCCCTATGTTTCTCCACAACCCTTCACCAATTGTGTAAATCTTAGCCTTTGCCTCATCACGATAAGTACAAAACTCAATAATGGGATCAAAAGACTCAACAACCCGTTGAAGAATAAACTGCATCACCTTGTATTTTTTTGTCTTGGGAGTAAAATTGAAAGCATTGATGGTACGATCATAGTAAATTCGATCATATATTGGACATGGTAAGGTAATGTAGTCACCCAAAATTGGATTGCATACAAAAATTTCAGAGTTATCATTACACAAGCAAAGCAAACCATTGCAGGAGTTAACTATTTGGCGTCCAAGAAGTGGGAAGTTAATTTTGGGGTTGAGTTTCAATTGGTCTTCGCGGGGACGGATTTTACGGAGGGTTTGGAGGTCAACCAAGCGGAGTTGGTTCGATCCGCAGTTGCGGTAGAAGGGTTTGAGCAAGAGGCTGACTGGTGATCTTGAGAGATGGAGAATGACGAAGTGAGGGTTTGAGATGAGAGAAAGCCAGTGTTTGGAAACGAGTTGGCAAAGGAAGAGGGTTTTGATGGGGAGTCTGGAGAGGATTTCGAGGATGATTTGGGCTGGAAGAACTTTTGGGATGGAGTTTTTCTTCTTGTTGTTGGGTGTGCTCTGTTTCATCATGGTGTCTTCTTTGGTGGACATTGTTGTTTCTCAATGATTAGAAAAGTGTGATGTCCCAACTGTTATTTATATTAGCAATTGAAAAATGGTATGGATTTTAAAGAATTTACTAAAGTTATGTTTCGTTTTGGCATTTGACTAAAAAAAAAAACCTTAAAAGATAAAATTGACTACATAAATTAATAAAATAAAATGTCACATCTAAATCATAATCATTACATTTTTTTCTCACGAAAGTCAAAAAATCAAAAATAAAAACCAAACAAGGCTAAAAAAATCAAGTTAAAATAGTCAAAAAGTCAAAAAGCCATGCTATTTTAGCTCTTCCCAAACGAAGACTAAATTTTCTTCTAAATCTCTGGTATAGTGTGTGACTCACATAAACTCATATGTGTGTAGGTTTTTGTAACATACCCGGGGTACCCGTGCGCGTTAAACAGTTCAGACTCCCGAGATCTCTTTGATCTAGTCTCACTAGTGCAATGTGAAATATAGATGAGATTCCATATTTGGAAACTTTTAGAAAATTCATTTTATTGCAAAATCTTTTGCCAGAAATGGACTGAGTCATCAGATCTCAAAGTCGCCACCTAATATTTTTGAAAAATTAGGAAACCCATGACTCGTGCCAAGGCCACTGTTCATCATAACCAAAGTTGTCTCGGTTCGGAACCTTAGGTATAAGAGGACAAGGTCATTAATTGAGCACCCCCACTCACCCGATCAAAAGATCGGCCTTTACTAAACCATGATATGAATTTTATTTATTTTATATATTCATATTTCGATTATTTAATAAATCCTAAAAATTACTACGTGAAGCATACAAGTATAGATTATGTCATTTATTTTGGAATAATTTGATTTCATGTAGTTTTGAAAGAGTCTTGGAGAAGTACAACCCAAATAAATTGAGTTTACAAACATGAAAATCAACACTATTCCAAATTAAGCGACATAACCTCCATCCACTAGCATTCATACAGTTATATCAAGTAAGCAAGTAACCCCATGGTAGGATGCTTAAACATAATAAGAAAAACGCACACAAACGGGATGCTAAAGCATAAAAATTTACATATTTACCGACGTCCCTCAAACAGCTACAAAACAAAGTTAGTAAAACATGCATGATCTTATATACAAAATCCTAATGTAATTCACTCATGAGATGCAACTAAAGATTCGGCTTCTAAGATATGACATGTGAATCATCTCAAGAAAATGAGGTAGCGCACATAATCACATAGGAATTTATTAAATCCACAAATGCAAACTTAGCCAAATCAAGATCCGTGGAACATAGATGCAAAGCATGGATATAACGACAAAATAAATAAATATGAAACTGTGGGCTCACCTTTTTCGCGCCTCCCTTTCGGAAAGGTTTAAAAGAAAGGCCTCACAGTTCGGACTCCCGCGGTTCTGAATCTAATCTTACAAGTGCAATGTGAAATTGATAATCAGCAAAGAGTCCAAATCCGGCAAATCTTTTGAAAAATCGATTTTAAATCAAATAATGTCAAAATTGGACTACTTTGCCAGATACAGAGAGTCACCACCTAAATATTTTATTTTGGAGAAATTTAGGAAATCCTAACTCATCTATGCCCCAAGCTTATTGCTTTGATCTTACTTTTCAAGTTTTCTTTTTGAATGTAATAAAAGCAACTTTGATGTGTATCGAGGGTTGGAGAACTTTGTATTGAAATCAATGAAATTGAAGTTGTGGGTACTGAAAATTTTCCTTTTGGTCCAAAAATGGTCTAAATTGTAAAAGGATTAATTTGAACAAAATCAACTTTTATCAAAACTTTTCAAAACCATTTTCGATAAGGATCACAACTTGACACACATGGAATCTATCCTCGAGATGTACAGCCCCGCATCCAGAAATGGAAAATTGCCCCTTGATTGAATAGCACTGCTCAGCACTGTAGTCAGCTCTTCTCTCAGGGAAAGGATCACAGCCGATTTTTCAAATAACGAACAGACAAGGATACCTTAATCAAACATATGGACACAATTGACTTATAGGTGTTTACGGTCAGACTTCAGAATGAAATTGCCTACGTATCCCGAAGATGGGAATCAGGCCTTAAATAGTTCGGTTCGGGTTCACTTGGGTATTAACGCTCTCCTTTTACACTCTAACTTTTGCCAAGGCCGCCCTTTCTGGATTTTCAACCTTGCGAGCTCAGTTTTTCTTTATTTCCAATTTTTTTGTGGTCTAACTTTTGCCTAGGTCACCCTTCCGGGTTTTCAACCTAGCGAGCCTCTCAGGGATAATATTTCTTCAACTTGTCCTTGTTGATCGGTTGGGAAAATTCTAGGCCATCCAAGTCCATGAGAATAACAGCTCCACCCGACTAAATGGTTTTGATAATGTAAGGACCAGTCCAATTGGGCCTGAACTTGCCCCTAGGGTCATGGATGGGAGTTCGGTTGTCTTTCAATACCAAATCCCCTTCCTTAAGATTCCGAGACTTAACTTTCTTGTTGAAAGCCCTGGCAATCCTGCGTTGATATCCTTGAACATGGTACAGTGCTTTCAGCCTCCTATCATCAAACAACATTAGTTCTTCGAACCTACTCTGCTGTCAATCTGCTTCTGCTATCTGGCATTCAGCCATAACCCGCCGCGACAGAACCTTTATTTCAATCGCCAAAACAGCTTCCATCCCATAAACAAGAGAATTCGAAGTTGCCCCAATTGATGTCTGTAGACACCCCATTTTTTACTGACCTTAAGACTCAGAAGTCATCATCTGTGCACCCGATGATTGTGCATGTTTGTGCTCGTTTTGAGTGCTAAAAGGTCTCAGTCGATCACCTTGTCTTTGAGCCTCTAAACTCTCTGTGTTTTGGCCTTGTTTTTTGGCCAAACCTTGGTGTCCCTTGTCTGGAGGGAGGAGAGGCCTTGTCAGCCACTTTTGGCCTTTGTCAGCCACTTTTTCCTCTTGTCGGCCACCTTTGGTGGCCGGTCAGCTAGAGGAGGTGGCCGATGGCCATTTTTCTCCTTTTTCAGATATTTTATGTGCCAGTTGTGCCAGCTGTTGGTCACTGAAGCCATCCTATGGAGGGATGGAAACAAGCTTTATGCTTGTTTTTCTATATAAGGGGAGGTCCCTCCCCTAATTTGAGGGTTCAGAAATTTTAGGAGCAAAAATTTCCCCTCTCTAGAATCCTCTCTCTCTTCTTGTTTTAGGCTTGAAAGTGAGTTTTCTTCACATATTTGCATACAACCCCTTAACCAAATTAGACTACCTTGTTGCTGAGGTGCTTGAAGGTCTTGCTTGGGTTGTTGAAGGCTGGTTTTTGGCTCAGAAGTTGCTATTTTGTTGTTGTGCTTCAAGGGTAAGGCTTTACCCTCTTTAAAGCTTTATTTAGTTGCTTGTTTGGCCAACTTTGCATGCTGTTTTAGGCCTACTTTTCAACTACAGAAACCTCTTTTTTTATGGTTTAAAAATGTTGGTTTGAGGCCTTTTTGGAGTTAGGGGTGGTCCACCCTCTTTTGTAGCTTGTTTGCTAAGTTTTGTGCTATCTTTTAAAGCCTTTTGAAGCAACTTTTTTTGGCCTTTTAACCACTGAATTCCAGAGGAATTTCAGTGGTAGAAACTTGGTTTTGAGGTCCCAAATAGGAGGGGGTGACCTCCCATCCTTGTGTTTTGTTTGCATATGTTGTTGGCCTAACATATGAGTATGTATTTCTACCTTTTTGTTGCTTAGTTCAAGCATGTTTTTGGCCTTATTTCAACATGTTATAACTCTATTTTTGGCTGGTTGAGTCACTTCTTGCTTGCTTCTTACACTTGTAGTGTAATCATGCTTACTAGATTAACATACTTGATGTTTTAACCTATTGTTCTAGCATGTGTTGGCTCCACTCCAGCATGTTTTTGGCCTTTCTTTGACATGCTTAAACTCTATTTTGGGTGGTCTTGGTCCTTTGAGACTCGCTTTGTACAGCTATAGTGTAGTTAGCTTCACTAGCTTTGTGTTTTGAGGCCCTTAGCATGCTTTGCTTGTGATGTTTGCATGATATATCATCATTTAGCATGTGATTTTAGTGCTTATAACTCTGTCACACTCTCACATATTTCACTTTTTCATCACTTTTGAGAGTTGTGCCTTATGCCTTGTTTATGAGCCAATATATGAGCATGTTTTTCTTGCTTTTCATGGTACCATTTCAACTTGTTTTGGCCACTGTTTTGGCATGTTTGAGGTCCGTCTAGGGCTGGTTTGGCCATTTGAGTTTGATATTGCATGGTTCTAGTGTAAAGCTCTTCACTAGTTTTAATGCTTAAGTCTCTTAACATGTTGTGCATGAGTTGTTTGCATGTTAGAATCTTGCGTTTCATGCCATTTCAGCACTGAAATTCTACCACCTCCCTCATTTCTTCATTTTTGCTATTTGTTTTAAGGGATGGTTAATCTTAAAGTAGTGTTTAAGCTTGGGATTGAGGCTTGTGCTTAAATGGCTTTAACACTCTTTTAAGGGTTCCTCCTAGTCAAAGACATGGTCTCTCTCATGTCTTAAGTCATCTTTTGATTGACCTCTCTCTCATTAGAGGACTTTCACATTGGACAAATCAATTAAAGAATGGTTTGGTAACTTAAAATGTGTAAACAAAAAGTGAACCAAGTAAAACATGAACAAGATGAGCATATTTGTATTGCATTGCATGTGTTTGGATCGGACGTTAATCCAAACACAAGAAATGTGGGACGTTTCATACTCAAAGTGATGAAACATGTCACATTTCTTGGTCGCCAACACCCTTAATCATGCATGATAGGATGGAGGCACTTTGTGTATTGTTTATGCATTCACTAAGCTTGTACAAGCTTGGGTTTTGGGCCATCATGCATTAAGATGCTTGGTTGGTGGCTTGAGAGCCGAGCGCCACTCTCCTTTGAGCTTGAGAAATGATGAGGAGGGTGGTAGTGCATACATTACCTGCAAAATGCATTGTCTTGGCTCTGTTGTTCTCTGTTACAGCAAAACCAGGAGTTTG